TTTCTCTCTTCTCTCTTTTCTTCTTTCCTCTCCTACTTCTTGCTGTCTACTTTACTCTACAGTCAACGAACAAGACAGAATTCTATGGCAGGTCAAACTTCAACAGTCTCACAAAATACAGTGAGAAACTGTAATATCTACAGCTACTACCAAAACAAACTATTATCCCAAGAAAAGATAGAAGCAGGAGGCACCTCCCTAAGTATGTCTATTCAAGAAGAAGATAACTACTAATGCATCTTAAAACTACAGGAAATTGTTTGAGAAAGAGGGATATAGTATGAAGCAACCATTGAATAGCTAAATAAAGAAAATGAACCAACAAAACATTGATTATAAATCCTCATTTGACTAAAATACATAATAATAATAATAATAATTTTCAATTGGCAATACAATTTGTCGAAGCAAGGAAGAAGGGGGCCCGGGGATAGGGAACTTAGTTCATAGGAATGAAGTTCTAGTAGGAAAGTGGTTGTGGAGATGGCCCTTGGAGAGGGAGAGGTTATAACATGAGGTGGTGGCTAGCATTCATGGTTGCTCAGAGGATGGTTGGGATGCTGGGGTATCTCGTCAAGCAACTCTCTCAACACCTTGGAAGGCTATACACAACATTCTCCCCCTGTTTCCTTAGTCTAATCAGGTATGAAGCTTGCTCTACTTCTTCAGTTCTTTTCTGGGAAGATACTTGGGTGGGTAACCAATCCCTCAAAGATCTCTTCCCCTCTCTCTACTCTCATTCACTTTACAAAAAAGACCCAGTATCTGAGTTTCTTCCTAACCCAGTTTTTCCTTTATCTTTGTCTTGGGATTTTGGCTTTCGTAAGGGGTTAAGGGGTGAAGAATCCTCTTGTGTTTCTGAGTTACTACTATTACTTGAGTCTATTTGCTTGGATCCTACTAAACCTGACAAAAGAATTTGGATCCCCACCCCAAAAGGCTCCTTCACTTGTGCATCTTTCTTCAAATCCCTTTGCTTCAATTCTACCCCTGGGGAATTTCTTGTTAAAGAAATTTGGACTAGGCCGATCTCCTTTAAAATTGTTGGCTTCTGTTGGGAAGTGTACCATGGTAAGATCAATACTTTGGAAAATCTGCAAAAGAAGAAACCATACTTATGTCTTTCCCCTAACTGGTGTTTTCTTTGTAAAGCTCAGAATGAGGATTGTTACCACTTACTGATATCTTGTCCTTTTGTTGTAGCTTCATGGAATTGGATTTTTTGTTTGTTTGGATGTAGGTGGTTAATCTTTCTTATTTCAGGTGGCGCACACGAAGAGGGAGAATTATGTGGAAATGTATCAGAGCAGCTCTTGTGTGGACTATTTCAGAAGAAAGGAATGGCAGAATATTCCTAGAAAAGGAAAGGAATCTCCCTGAAGTGCAGGACTGCTTATTGATAAGGGCAATCCATTGGCTGAAAATTTTAGACTTCTTTGTTGATTTTTCTTTTGACAATATTCGGAGGTATTGGCTAGCAGTGGCTATTACTTCTTCTAGGAGGTTTAATAGAGTGGTAGAATGGACAACTCCTTCAAAGGGTGTCATTAAGATGAACTTTGATGGGAGTAGTCTGGGTAATCCAGGACCTTCGAGTATAGGACGGATCCTAAGAAATAAGGAATTAAGGATAGCAACATTGTTTCCTTATATTCAGGACCAATGGGAGTGGGTGACTCCACAAGAGCAGAGATACTAGTTGTTGTACATGGATTCAGATTGCAAACCAGATTGGGGTGGAGCATCTTTTAGTTGAAGGTGACTCACAGGTGGTGGTGGGATGGCTCTTGAACCCAGATTCTGCCATTTGGAGTTATAGAGACCAACTTAAAAAAGTGAATTGGCTGACTAGCAACATGACCGTTAGTGTTCAATGGGTGAGCAGATCGGCAAATGCTATAGCTGATTCATTAGCCAAACAAAGGGTTTCTCGGGACAGTCTTTTTTGGACTACCTTGTAACTTATTCAAGATATTTTTAAGAATCTTCTTTTGGCTTTTCTGAAGAGGTTGCACCTTGTGCCTCTTCCTGGGTCACTTGTATCTCCTATGTTCTGTGATTAATACATTTCTTCATTTATCAAAAAGAATACAAAAGAAATAATATCCCTGATTTAAAATAGTCCATTTATTGCTTTAAATGGAAACAAAAGCAATGTATGAAACAAAAGTTCAGCACATCTTAATCCTATTCTAAGGGATCTCTATGCCATATACCATTGACTGAATCATCATGACAGTATGACCAGTTGGGCTGTAGTATGATATCAAAGTGACTTGAAGAAAGTTCAAGTAATAAGGCACAAAGTTAACAATTTTAGTGTTGGTAACAGAACATGCTGATATAAATCTACAATAGGCTAAAGCCCATACTTCAATTGGTTGATGTATTGCATGCCAGAATATAATGACATATTGCCATGTATTTAGCCCAACTTCCATACCAAGGAAAAGGGTTTCTTATTTTTGAAATGCCATTCCTAGAAAATCTGCAGACCATTATTGCATGCAAATTATCATAAATGAGGACCTCCTAGAATATCAGATATTCCAAAGGCACGGTACTTGACAGAACAACTGAACCATGAAAAAGTTGCCATTTGATAAACTAATTTCACAAGAGAGTGAAGAGACTAGCTGATAAGAGAGAGAGAGAGAGACTGGAAAGAAGATTTTATTTGGGAGCACTGGAGCAGACATGGGACATTATCACCATAAACTGGTATGATTGACACCTATAATATGAAGAAGTGAATTTTGAACACTCTTTCCAAAATGAATGCTTGCTTATGTAGGTCTAGCTAGAAACCTTATTCAAACCTGAGTACCTGATAGTGCAACTAGAACATGATCCAAACAAGTTGGATCCAAATTATGGGTAGGGTATAAGTCAAGCATGGACATGGGCAATGAAAAGTAGTCTTATGATAATAACTTGTGTTGCTGAACCCTTCTGCTAGTTGTTTAATGAATCCAAATTATGGGTAGGGTATAAGTCAAGCATGGACATGGGCAATGAAAAGTAGTCTTATGATAATAACTTGTGTTGCTGAACCCTTCTGCTAGTTGTTTAAATTCTAAATCTCCTTCAATTGGACTTAGAAAAGGTTTCACTTCTCAGACTTACTCCCGTTGTTAACCAGAAATGTTTGACTTGCCATACTTGTTATCTTTATTATCAGCAAAAACTTGTTAGGAAATTTTTAAAATGTTTACATAAGGGAGTTTACAATAGGAATAGGTAAACTTTCCATTTGTATACAGAAGAGTACATAGGCCAGAACACTTCATTCCGTGTATTCCATATAAAAAAGGGCATTACCCAATGTTGGTCCCAACTGCATTAACAATTCCATATAGGCCCCTATAATTGAATATGATGTTTCAATAATAGAAGCACCTGAGTTGGAGTAGAACGTGTGTGCTAGTGGATCAAATTAGGTCAGTTCACTAAACATGGATTTGGTACTTATCAAAAAAAAATGCATCTATTGTTTGACAAAATTGTCACTGGAAAATCAATTGTGCATTAGAATATCACTAATCAATATGTTGAATTTGGATATTGATCAAATTTAGAATAGTACACGCAATACTGGAGCTACTCCTATTCAAAACCAACACTAATTACCTTAATCCCAGTCCCTACATTATAAGCCTAGTGATAAATCTTCAACTCTCAGAAACCTAGTGATAAATCCAACCAGGCAAACAATGCTGCTGACAACATTATAAGCCTGGTTAAACTTCATCAAAAACCTTGGGATTTATCCTAATTGCTGACCTGAAACCTGCTCCACTCTTTAGCCTAAGGCCAATTGTTAACCCACATGTAACAATTAACAAATCGTAACATCCAAATGCATGAAACTATCAAGTATACCAAGCAAACTACTTAACTTTATTTTTACTTTAGTTCATTTTCTTCTGGCCTAGATGGTAAAATTGAGACAACGGTTTAATGGTTGAGATACAGAATGTTGACCAACTAAGTGACAAGTTCGGGCCAACTCGCCTACCATCTATACGTCCAAATATGCAACCCAATACATGTACAAGAAAATCTCCAATACCAGAACATCAAAACAAATCATGCAAGAAAATTGGGGGAAAAAAAGCAACTTTAAAGTAAGTGGATCATAATTTCGCAAGCCTTTTCCGTAATTCTGTAACCATGCGATCAATTAGTCCATGACATGCAAAAAAAACACGAAATTCACAATAAAACAAGACAAAGGAAAATTGAAAAACCCTAAATCCCCCTGACTTGTAACACAAGATTATCAGACTAAGTTAAGAAGTGCTAATCTACTGGTGGCATATCTTCAGGGCGACAGAGGAAAGATAGCTTTGCATTAATAAAGATATATAAAAGAAAAGAAAAGAAAGAAAGGGTAGAGAAGAGTACAGTGTCTTCAGGCTTCACTTCGATCTCGAAGTGAGTTCCCTTCAAAGTCTTGACGAAAATCTTCATCTTCTGTGCGACTTCGTCCGTACAATTATGCTCCGCCCTCCCTTTCTCTCTGCCGATCCACTCGCCGAACGCTTGACAGAAGAAGAGAAAAAGGAAACACCTTAAATACTCACTGCTGCCAGAAAAGAAAAGGAGAAGAAGAAGACCCGAAGCTCAAGCAAACTTCTTTCTCCCTCATTTATATTTACTAATAATTTATTAATTGTTTTCAGGATAATTATTAAACAATTTATTTTACCAAAAGAATAAATAATTCAGAAAAAGATATTGATTCAATGTTGGGAGTTGGGACAAATACAACTGAGTTGAATTCTACCGTTGGAATAGAATCGATCGTCGACATTGATGCCTCTGAAACCAATCTGACGGTAAATTAAAAAACAAGATCGTGAAAACATCCTAATGGAATCCGGAAAATATAAAAATCTACATGTTCGCTGTCCGCAGGACTTTTATGGACCAATCTGCAGTAGTTCAGTTTTCTCGTCTAATTGATGAACGGACTGGATTGATCATTTGGTCGATAAGTTTTATGAATTTCTGTCTACGTTCTAAAGCATGGAAGATTTTCCCATGTTGTCAGGTAGCCAAGGTGAGTTTTCGGGCTCAGGAGTCAGGAAGATTGCCTCTTTTCCCCCTAATAATTCTCTGATGATTAAAATCATGAACTTAAATCAGTAAACAACATCATCTTAGATATATTGTATTGGAATCTTTTCGTCTCTAATATGAAAATATTCTGATCAGACGCTTGAATGATATTGGTCCGAGTTTTTGAGTCATCTTTATATAGTCAACTCCCTATGAAAGATTCCAATCGGATCATTTGGAATAAGGCTGAAGTAGTTGGAGTGAATGACTTATTGATTTGTGTTTTGGTGAATGTGAGGACTGAGGAGGTCGTGAGCTCCTCAGCTGTTGTAGATGAAGTTGAGTCCAATTAGTCATTCGATTTAGCTACTTAAGCTGCTATCAAACGGCCCCTAATGCTTTGATCTTGTAAATTACGGAAACCGCTTGATTGGAATATCAAATTCTTCTCTTTTCTTGTTTTGATGCGAACGAGATAAGGTGTCCCCAAAAGTGGTTGTCTTCGCTCTTCACCAAATAAAGATCTCCAACTCCAAGCATCGCAGAAGGCCTGGGTGCGCCCACGCAACAACCAATTCAGCAATTCTAGATTTACTTTTCGAAAAATCTGGAAAAGATCAAAAGAAAAAGAAAAAAATGGTCGGACCGTCAGAAGGCCAGAGTTTGCTCGGTCTTTACCGGCATTTTTGTCGGTCCGGCCTGACGTTAAAGCAACTTTTGCCACTGCGTCATGTATCATATGGTCCGACCATTGTTAAAGGGGAACATTTATTATTAGTATCCTGTAATTTGAGTCGAGTGACAAATTGGTCACTGAACTTTATAATGTGATAATCCAGTATTGCGAAAATCTAGTACATATGTAAAAAATTGTTAATCAATGTTAAATCATATGTAAAAAAATATAAATGTCCTTCAAATGTCATTTAATTTTTTTTATCAATCATTCGCTAAAATCAAAACTATAAGCAAACGTTAGCTTGCTATTTGGAAATCGGAAAATTGGCAACGGAGGCATGTTACGATGTCGTCCATGATACCTCTGTAGCTCAAAGGTGGACATGGGTCCCATCAAATTGCCGCTCTGCAGTGCACTGCACCACCTCCTTCCTTCCAAAAAGTATATTGTGAGTATAGGGCGTGAGAGATTTAGTGAGGGATGGACGGTGTAGTTGTCTCGATGTCAACGATAATTGTTGGTATGATGATGGTATTCATCATTCATGGTATTCATCATTCATGAATGATGAATGACGGTTAACAATTGACTGAATATGGCTCGGTAAAGGTATCGCAATCGATCATTCTATGCAAGAAGGGTTTTGGTGTTTGTAACGGAGAGCTTGGGATCTGTTTCATCTTTTTTAGGAAAAGATGATGAACAGTGTGTTTTATTTTTAATGAAGGTAGATTTGGCCCTCCACTGACATCATGACACATGGCATCTCGGAACAATTGGGTGACACCCTAGAACCACCTAGGTGACAACTTGGCTTAGCCAAAATGATGGAGTCCCAGCTAGCGACCTGGCGACCTACCTTTGTCACCGACTTGGCGACCTACCTCTGTCACCGATCTGGTGACCTGCCTCTGTCGCTGACCTGGCGACTTGCCTTTGCCGCTAACCTAGTGACATGCCTCCGTCGCCAACCTGGTGACTTGCCTCCTCCACCAACCTGGTGGAAACCTAGCTAACGACCTTGTCCACAACTCAAGGCAACTAGCAACACCTTGTCCAAGGCCGACTTGTGGTACCTCATCAATACCGGTCGAAGCGACCTCGACGTGAGGAGCGACCTCCCTCGAGGGCTTGCTGACCTGATTAAGGTAGTGGCGACCTGCAATACGTGCTCGCCGACGAATTCTACATGCATCTCATCACTCCTGGGTCTCTCAGAAGTCAGCTCTCACATCGAATGTTTTAGAGGAAACCGAGTAAGGCACAAAGATTGGCCTACGTGCACGACTACCTCCGAGAACTTTGAAGCAGTTAGGCACGTCTTCCCGGAGATCCCAGACGCATTGCGTGATGCCCGTGCCAAACAATGCCTATATAAAGGCCTTACCTCCAACTTCAGAAGGTACATGCGCAATTTAGTTCTCGCAACTTTCTAGCTCTCTCACAAAATCTTTGCATTCGCTGACTTTGGCATCGAAGTGCCCACCCCAAGCACTCTGACACTGTTTCCTTGCATGTTGCATCAGAGCCACCTCTCCAGCTCGTCACCATACAGCCATGCATCAAAGTCACTTCTCCAGCTCGTTACCATTCAGTTAGGCATCAGAACCACCTCTCCAACTCGTCACCATATAGCCAGGCATCAGAGTCACCTTTCTAGCTCGTCACCATTTAATTAGGCATCAAAGCCACCTATCCAGTTCATCACCATACAGCCAGGCATTAGAGTCACCTCTCCAGCTTGTTACCACTCAATTAGGCATCAAAGCCACCTCTCCAACTCGTCACCATTCAGCTAGGCATAAGATCCACCTCTCCAACTCGTCACCATTCAGCTAGGTGTCCAAGCCACCTTTCAGGTAGGAACCATTCAGCTAGGCATCCAAGCCACATTCCAAGTAGGGATTATTCAGCTAGGCATCTGAGTCACTAGCCAGCTGGGAACTTCTAAAACGCCCATCATCCATTTCCAATGGTAATTTTGATATTTTTAAATTTCTTAAATCGCACATGAAATTGTATGATATACATAATTGACGGTCCATTAATGGCAGGTACTAGATTGTCGTGTTTCGAAAATTCGAGTACTGAATTGTCGCATTTTAAAGTTCGGGGACCAAATTGCCACTCAAGCCAAAGTACAAGGTACTGATTGGAAATTTTCCCTTATTAAAATCCATTCATTTAAAACAAAATTAGAAACAATAAGAAGGCATAATCACGTGATGGTAAAAGCTAGAGGCTAGTCGATTGTAGAGATAGGAATTTTCGAGGGCCATGTTATATAATTTTTTTGGCTTATGTAATGAAAAAATTATAATGAGAACAAATTTCCGAATTAAAATAATGAGAGTAAATTCCCAAAAATCTATATAATCAAGGTTCTTATTTCATATGATTTCCAATTAAAAAAAAAAGACTGTTCCAATTGCCTTGACAAAGTAACACAAGCCTCAGTCAATTGTTTGATGCGTTCGGGTGGATGCATTCAAATGGCATGCCAATAAAGAGAGGCAATTTTATAATAGAAAACATTCATTCTACATGTATCTCATAAGATGAATACACCTTGTAAGTTTATGATAATATAAGTAAAAAAAAAGGTATTTCTAACTTTTTTATGCTAGAACCCCCAAAAAATATAAAGGGGAAAGAAAAATCAGATTAACTTTTAGTCGGGTTTGGGGTGGGTTTCAACGAGACTTGAAACTTTGGTGATTAAGGACGAGGTAGTGGCAATATCAAATGATGATGATGATAATAATAAGCAATCAAATGACCTTACAGGTTGAACCATTAACCTATTTAACCAGGACAATGGACTATGATTAAGACATTAATTCATTTTTTATTTGTATTTGAGCCATTTCTATCTTTACTAACAATAATTCTTATTTTTCAAACACATTTTTGTTTGATATGAAGAATATATAATATTAATGCATGTTCAAATCTTTTTATAAAATTTATAAAAAATTCTATATTTTTATTTTTATTATTTAATTTATGAGATAATAAAATTACTTATTTACCAAGAGAAAATACAATTCCAATATATTGTTTGAATATTGGTTTTTTTAATATTGTGGTCAAATCAATTATTTATATATAGTATATATATTATCTATATATAATATATATGTTATTTTATTATTTATTTATAAATATGTTATTTATATTGCACTTTTGTAAACTTTTTATATGATAGAAATAGTTGAAAAAATACTTATATTTTTTGTTTTTTATTTCAATTGTTATATTTTCTTTTTCTTTTAATAATTTATTACTTTAAAAAAAATTAAATTGGATCGTATCAGATTCGAATATCCAACATCTTGATTAGATTCGGATTTGAATCAATATTTATGAGATTCGATCGAATATTTGGATCAGATCATATTTGAATATACCCCAATTCATATTTGATCTAATCTGTTTGTATCCCTACCAAACCACTTGCCTACGATGACCTAGCTAATTAAATTATTGAACCATTTGACATGGTTAGTCGGGTCATGTGTTAGACATTAATGCTCTTTGTTTTTTTATCACATTTCTATCATTAATGAAAATAATTCTCATTAATCATACTTTTTTATATGATGAATATATAATATTATAGAATGTACCCAAAATTATTGACAAATTTTTAACCAGTAACCCACCACTTGGATGGAAAAACCATTTTGCTTTTTTGGTTAATTTTAAATCATGTATTCCATTTTCATCATCGATAAAGGTAATTCTTATTTTCACAATTATATTTGTTTAATATGGTGAATATATAACAATAGAATTGTATCAAAATGATTTATACAAAGCTTATATTTTTCTTTGAGTTTATATATGTATATATGTATGTAATATTCGTTACTTAGTTATGACATCATAGA